TCAAGTAGAAGGCAAGCAAGGAATATGTAATAGGCATGATAATTACTAGTAGTAATAATAGCAGTAGTAATTTTGTTGGTGTTAGTAAAGTTAGTAAGGTGTTGGTAGAATCGGCGGAGGCGGTGGTGCTGCTGCTGCTGCTACTAATGTTGTTGTGGATGCTGGTTTTCGCGGTGGTAGAGGAGTTGATGATGATGCTAGAGGCGCTGAAGGTACTGATAATAGTCGTGTTGGTGGATTTGGTTGTGGTAATGTTGGTGGTGCTGGTGGTTGTGGTTGTGGCAGTCTTGGTCGTTGTCGTGTCTTTTTTGGTGCTGCTAGGGATACTGGTTGGGATGCTGTTGGAACTCGTGGTAAAGCTGGCCGGGGACTTGGTGGTCGTCGAGTTGTTGGTGGTGGTGGTGCTAGTGGTGCTGGTAGTGCTGTTGGGCTCTTGATCCTGTTGCTGCAAGTGGTGTTGATGGCGACGGTGGTATTGGCAATTGTGAAGTTCTTATTGGTAATGCTAGTGCCGATGCTAGGATTGGTGGTGTTAGTAGTGGCAATTCGGTGGCACTGGTAGTGTTGATGTGTGTGTGGAGGGTGGTGCCAGTGGTGGCGATGGTGGCGGTGATGGTGGTCAATGAAGATTGACAGAGATATAAAGGAGTTCATCTAGAGAAGGTCATAGCGTCTAGATGGCCTGACAAGACAGTGCCAAGGCATCCTCCGGATTACTGAATAGTTGAAAACTGGAATTGTTTCTATTTATTGACCTTTGCCTAAGTTGTAGCTAATTATGGCATGCTGTATCAGTCTAGACAGGTGGATTTTCAGGAAAATTCAGCAATCTCTCTTCCGATCGGCTTATTCGTTCTGGTTCTACCCAACAAGTAGACAGACAAGCCGTCGATCAGGCGCACACGAGGAATGGATACTATACATCGTGGGCGGTTGTAGCAAAATATTTTGGATACATTTAACACGAAAGCATACTTACATCTGATTAATGTGGCCCTGCTGCAACCGGATTTGTGTTAGACTTGATATTTATCGCTTATTATGGTGTTGCAATCAAACTTATAAGTCGGTTTTTATGATTACCAGTAGATTAAACATATATATATAATATATTCAACCTATTTCGTTTATGGTAATAAGAGAACTGGTCGTTGAATTTTCCTACAGTAGTATGAGTAGACCTTACGTTTCCATTGAATTTTGAATAGCCTTGCTTTTCAAAAAGATATCGTCATCCAAGCTAGATTGGGCTGCAGTTTCGACTTCACCCCGCCACCTCATTAGCAACCCCAGCAGGACCCGAACAATGAAAGTATAGCATATGAGCTATACACGCAATTCTGTCAGGAGTGCCATTGGGTCATAGGACAGATGTGAATTTTAAAGAGAGCCAGGCATTTTCCCGTATTTCACACTGTGGTGGGATTCTCGATAAAACAAAAAAGCTTTATTTGCAATAGAAATCGACTAAGTTGCATATTTTTCGTTCATAAGTAGGTTTTAGAGACTATCAGTGGATCATATATATGAGATTATCCCCCCCCCACAGAATGGGATGTGGGAAAATTAATGGCCCTGTGATTTAAGTGCATTAGTGGCAATGTGGCGTAGTGGTTAACGTGTTAAGATAATACGCTGAAATTGCATGGTTCGAGTCCCGCTGAGGTTGCTAATGAGACAGTGGGGCGAGTTTGAAACTGCAGCCTACTCCAGCCTGGATGAGAATTCCTTTTGGAAAAATAAGGCTACGTGAAGTTCAATGGAAACGTAAGGTCTACTTATTCCATAGTGGGAAAATTCAAATACCAGTACCTTTATCACTTTAGACGAACTATGGTGAATACATCTCATATGATTACTAAAATTTATTTTTACCTCGTTTTCGCGGCTCAATTATTGTATTCGTAAGTTAGTAGGGCTTCTGTGGCGTGTCTTCTTCGCCAACGAAGCCGTACTCCCCGAAGCTAGTCAGGAACACGAGGTCACATTAAATCTGCTCCTTCTGAAGGCTGAGATGCTGGCAATCATGTCGGGAGGCTGTGGAACTCGTCGGGTTCAAATCAACGAGGTCAGATTCGTGTATATTAGTTGACAATGGCGAAACTTACAAAAATACACTATTTGGATTAGAGACGGCCTGTCAGCATGTATTTCGCCTCATTTTTCCATCAATGCGTCCCACTGGCCCGAAACCGGGTCCGGTGCATCATGTTGACAGGTTACAAAAGGTCCACCGAGCATATGTGGTTTTCAAGGAAAGCCAGGTTGATAGGGCAAACATATAATTGCCAATACAATCGACAACATAAGTGTGTTTCGAAGGTATGAAGACCTAGATGGTGTGATCTTTTGTGTGGTCGTAGTCCCCTTTCGTTGTATAGAAGTTGTTTGACCTTGTTTTTGCAACTTGGTCATATTGGTAGGAAGACTTAGAGGAACGCACCTTGTCCCAGTCCATTGTATGCATCATCATTTCCAGAGAAGTACCGTGGAAGTGGTACATTCCCAGACGTTTCGCCGGCATCGTCAGTGAGTCTCGCCATTAGTAGCCATATTACAACTCGTCAACGATACAAGTCCTCTTTGCCGAGTTGTAATATGGCTGCGAATGGCGAGACTCGCTGACAATGCCGGCGAAACGTCTGGGAAGGTACCACTTCCACGGTCCTTCTCTGGAAATGGTGATGCATACAATGGACTCCGGACAAGGTACGTTCCTCTAAGTCTTCCTACCAATATGACCAAGTTGCGAAAACAAGGTCAAACAACTTCTAAAGTGCGTATCGTTGAAATTTTCGAGATCTTACATGTATGGTTAACATGAAAACCAGGATGGTGTAACCTTCTATTTGGTCGCAGTCTCCTTTAGCTTTATAATTTTTGTTCGATCTCGTGTTCCCACTTGGTAATGTACCAAGTAAATCCGCTGATGCTGGAAATCATGAATATTATGGAAGAAGACACAGGTCTCCCAATAGTCATATGTATGCTTTCGCACAAATACGCCTAAACATATATATACAAAGGAGCAAGCACTATGATAGTCTTGAATCTACTTAATCTATGTTCGTAATGCATTAGCTCATTGCGGACTCATCGGAGACTTCTAACAAATCCGTAGTCACAATTTACAAATCAGTTCCATCTGCCTTCTAGGTGAGTAGGTTTCTAAACGATTACTAGTACGTTATTAAGAAATGAGTCATTTCAGGTTGCTTTAAGTGATTTAACGATTTATACTGGTATGCTATGGTATGATATATTCTGAAGCATAATATCTTCCGGTCATTTGAGCATGATTTTTTCACGAGTGGGCATTGAACCTTCAGGCTTTGCTGACATAAAATAGAATGATGACTACCCTTTTCTGCCTTTAAAGGACTGCCTTTTTGTGAGCAGCAGATATCACCGACCTTAGTTCGAGCACCCATCTCCCTCCCATTACTACAGTAGAAATCAGGCTTAGTTCGATTATTGTAGGCGTCAGATTTCCTTCTTTACTTCTTTTCTGCTGAAATCAATAGGCGATGTTTACAAGCACCTCACCTTTGATGTAATCGTGAGATGGTACTAAAAACACATAATGCTTGTGCATCTCTATACATGTAAGTATGAATAGGTGTGTGAACGTATAAGTGATGCATGTATCTAAGTAAGTATCTGTATCTACATTAATTTGTGTCAATGGATGTATTAATATGTCACTTTGAGCGTGTATTATGCTTCATTGTTTGTGTTTATATAAGTGTGAATGTGTGAATATATGCGTATATGATGGCATATATGAAATATACGTCAGGTATCCAGGCCTTATGACACATTCTGTTGTGCTTAACATAGGCCTTAATAATAAAAAATGCGCGAACGAGATTAAGATGTGCGAAAAATCACTATTACTCTAAACCAATCAGTCATACTTGTTTCTTATACTTATTGTGGGAGCCAATTTGGTAAACAACTAGATAATATCATGCCTCATTATAATTACAAACTTATCTATAAGATGTAAGTATGATTACATTCGCCACCTTTTTATCTTTTTGTTGTGATGATTTCTTCATAAATACTGGTCTCGGGCCCTGACTATGTCCATCACGGCAATCCCTCTATTTAGAAATTCCAGTCACCCTATATTGCATGTAATGAAGGAATGATGGTTGAGTTTCCCAAAATTCTATGAGTAGGCCCTATGTTTTACTTAAATATTTCTTAGCCGTGCTCCGCAAAATAAACTCTCATCCAGGTTAGAAAGGAAGGCTAAGTTAAATTTAATGGAAAAGTGTGGCTCACTCATACACTTGAGGAAAATTTTAAATATCCGTTATTTATCATCTTATGCAACCTAGGAAGACTGGAGCTCGTATCAAAAACTTAGTTATTGTTTCAAAATTTACTTTATTCGAGTCCTTCTGCCTGTCTATCGAGACCATCTCCGCACAAATCAGCACTACTAACTACAAGAAAATCCTAATTCGGTTTCCAGTGAGGCTAATTTGCGGAT